CCCCGCGTGTGCTCTGCCTCTGCCCAGCACCACCCGCTGTGCTCTGCCTCTGCCCAGCACCACCGGCGTGGTGACAGCCCCACCTCAGGCAGAAGGCTCCGTTCCGGCAGTGGTTTCACTCAGAGTTTGGCAGATGGCTCCATCCTGCCCCCACGAACACCCGGTTACTCGGCAGCTTCGGCAGGAAGATGGGCCCTTACCGGTCTACCTAGTGGTTTCTTGCAGGCAGTAGGGCTGACAGGTCCCAGCCCTGCTCTGGTGAGATGCTGTGCCTCCTTAGCTCCTGCTGGGCTCAGCACGTGGAGGGCATGCAGAACCTCACAGGGACAGGCCCTTCCCAGCGCTTCTAGCTCTCCCGTGATCAAAATCAGACTAGTTCACTCTTCAATGACTGTGGACACACGCCACGTTCTCAGATGCTGAGGATGAACTGGTTAAACCAGAGTCACTACAGAGGGGGGCCTCCTCCAGGGCCAGCGAAAGTGACTGGCCCTTGACAGGCTGCACATCCCCCCTGCCTTCCTGGAGGGAGTCCGAGTCTCCGCTCTCCACCGAATCCCGGCTCTCCCGGTGCCCGTGGAAGCCGTTGGTGAGCCCAGGGGCACAAACGGCCTCTCTCTGGTTCGTCTTTCTGTCGGTACCTGAGGGCTCCTCCTGAGCCCCAACCTCGGGGCCCCCCGTGCAGCCCACCACCGCCGGGCCGGTGTCCTGCTGGGGGCTGGGAGGGCTGCACAGAGCCAGCTCTGCCGACGGGAGCTCTTCGGGCTCCTGGTCCTCGGCTTCCGTCTCGTCGCTCTCCAGGGTGTGCAGCTGCGAGTCGTAGTCTCTGTCAGAGGCTGAGAAATCAGAGTGCACGATGACCTCAGCTTCCACTTGGTGGAGGCTGGCTGGAGGGTGGTTTTTCTTTGCTTCATTCTGTTACCAGACAAGGGAAAATTATTATTTTTTTTTTTTAAAGAAGAAGGTAAAGTAAATGAAATTCAGATAATTGAGGCTGTGACCCAACCAAGCAATGAAAGGTATTTCTTTTTAATCCCAGAGAGTGCAATGGGATGTCCACGTGCCTCTGTTAAGCATTATCTTGATATGTTTCTCTAGGGCTGAAGTCTTAAGAAGCGTCTCAAATCACTTCAGGATCATTATTCTTATTTTTACATTGGGGAAAGCAACTCCCAAGGGAGTGATGTGCCCATGGTTTCCTGGCAGACTGGAGCAACCGTTCCTCCAAGCCTCTGTCAAACACCACTATGCTCAAACGTCACCATTCTGTTTCCACACTAAGGGCCAGATTTCTAGAGAGTGAGTGGGCAGTGCTCTAGGACACTGGCTTCTGAGGCAGCTCACGACACACATCCACACCTAGATACTACACCTCCTGGTTTAATTTTAGCTACCCATCACAAAATGTTTGTTCGTTGGAGCCCTGGTAACAGCTTGCAAAAGTCGGTGTAGATTCAAACACTTTATTATTACAGAAAAAAAACAATTCATTCTCCTCCACAGTGCTCAACTGGAGTTCAGGCTCCAGGTCCCCACAAACCTGGTTAACAAGCAGGGCACTCTGCTAGATTTGTAATATCACAGACAACTTATTTTGGAAGCTCACAAAGCGCTCTCTAGGCAATCAGCACTCAGATTCTGGGCCGAGTGTGACTTTGGAGCAAGAAGACAATTCAAAGTAAGGAAGAAGTGACATCCCACATGCACTTGGTGCTTTCTCTTGAAGCCAACCTTGTGCATCATTTACAAATTTTAAGACTTTTCTCCTGTTGTTGACAAACCGATGGGTAAGCTGGGCTGCGAATGGTGCCCTGTAATTGGGCTGTAAAACCTTGTCTTAACTCTAGCCACGATGTTAATTACATCCTGTGTATAATTGATTTTCACACTGCTACCTAGGAAGGCAGCATAGGGAGGTTACTCAGAAGTATGTGCTGTGGGTGGAGGGTGGGGGGATGAACTTTTTAAAACAATAATCAGAAATCTTCTGGCAGAGTCAATCTGAGCAGGTGTCAACTTGCTGTGCTGAGATTGTAGCACAGGCGTTAGACAAACTCTCCCAAAAATGGGAGTGCTTATTTATTCCAGGGAAGCAGTTCAAGAAACAGGATTTCCTCCCACTCCCCACATAAAGAAGACAAGTGTGGTGGAAATTGCTCTGCCTTGTCTGAAGGAGGAGTTTAAATCAACCCTTGATCTTTGACTCCTTTTACAGGCACAAATGCAATCCCTCTTTGAGGCGAGCAGCCTGTAGATCTCCCTGACTGTGCTGAGCACTGCAGCTCCTAACTCATTCTGCAGGCTGCTTGCTCGTGGCCCCAGCCAAGACCCGAAGCAGACTCTGGCTGCCTGGCTCTGGGTCCTCCAGCACCAGGCATGCCACGACCCTGCTCACAACCCACCTGACCACCACCAACAGAGCAAGCCCACAGCACAGGCCCTCAAGGGCTGGCTGGACTCAAAACAGACAATCAGGGCAGAGTTGAGGCTTTGAGTGATGCCTGGAAAAAACAAACAGCTCTTCCTCAAATCCCATCAGTCTCCCTGGCACGCACTCCTATACCCAGGAAAAATAAATAAAGCCCATGACCCGCACCTAAAGCTGGCTTAGAGAAGAAAACATTTTCTCCTCTGCTGCAAAAAGGAGAAAGGGAGATGTGGAACACAAATGGAAAAACCACATCAAAATACACAAGCCAACAAACCCCCAAAGACACCCACCATCATGGCATCGTAGACCAGAGCTTGTAAGAACAGCTTCTGTCCCGCGCTGGGAGGGAGCTTCAGCGAGCCGTTCACAGCAGAGAGAGGCTCTTTGGTGATCGAGTCCCCATATCTGGCTATGCTGTTTGTCCAGGGCTGGCTGCCTGGTTTAGTCCATGAAGACTGCAGAAGAAAAGCGGGAGGAGAAAAGAGCCCATTATCACACGTACAGATTCTTATCCTCATAAACCTGAAACGAGAAGCAGCTTGGGAAAGGAAAGTGTGAGTTGGGAAAACACCGTGGTGTAGAAGGCACACGCTACGTGTCTGATGCAAGTGGATAAAAGCTGCCAGATGCTTCACAACTGGCTGCACAAGGAGCTTTCCACTGGTTCTCAAACTCTGAGGCCGATAGGTACATCACAACACAAGGCATCATTTGAAGATGCGCTGAAATCAACTCCCTGTAAATCTGCCAACAACCCACAGGAGTGTGAAAGACGCTGCGACGCTGGGAAGGCAACGGGACAATGGAACCCTGGGGCTGAACGATGACAGGATTTGCTTTGGCACAAGCATTGTCCTGAAGAAGGACCCTCCCTGGCATGCACGGGCACAGGTGCCATAGGAAGAGCTGAAGGCAACCCTAAACGGCTCGCTGCAGATCTCCTGGGCTAAGCTAGAGCCTGGGTAAACACATTGTCTTTCCCCATCAACAGAGAGGCATAAAACTGGGGGCCTTTTTTTTTTTTTTTTTTGGAATTTTTTTTTCAGCAGACCACCAAGCAATTCTTAGCTCCACTTTAAATCCCTTGGGCAACCAGTGTTACCTTGTTTGTAGATCTAATTAAATTATATGGGCTGAACGCAATTTGTTCTGGGTTCTCTCAGCTTCCCCTTGCAATAAACTGTTGAATGCACACCTCTGTGCAGGGGAAACGTGTGCCTTGAAGAGCTGAAGTTATTTAACAGCTCAGACTATTAGTTCACAGGCACAAAAGTATTTTCTTGCCAGGTTTTGATTTTATTGGGCTCTCCTGCATGTACCTGAGCTCAGCCTTGCTACTGACACCCACACACGTACACAGATATCTACATACACACGCGTGCATTTAGATTTAAGGACCTCGTGAGTTCTCTCTGGGCTTGTTCCACAGATGTTGCCTGGGTAGAAGCGAGAGGACAACACAAGGCTGAAGCAAAGAGGAAATCCTGGCCTGAGCCAGCCAGGAGCGTGCACGTGCACACAGGCCCCTGGTGCTGCGAGCAGGATGGCTGCACGGGGCAGAAGATAGGTGGCACGTCTGTCCAAAGGCACTGGGCACCCATCACTCGCTGTCAGGCAGGAGAAGGGCAGGGCTCTGCTCCGCACATGGGGCCCCCACTTAGGCCAGATGTGTTCCAGCAACAGTCGCCGTAGCACGAGTCTGGCCGAGATGGCAAGGAGATTTCTGACATCAGCCTGACCTTGCGTGAGTCATTTGACCTCCCTGTGCCTCGGTCCATCTGGCTGGAAATTAGGTAGAAATACACGACCAGATGTTGTATGTGAGCCAGGCATTCCTAAGCCAGCTACTCAGCAAGAAGCAAACGCTACCTCGTGCTGGCAGGAGACACACGCACCCTCTGTCCACCCAGGCTCTGAGCACCAAAGGGGCTCAACACCTTGCAGGAGGCAGAGCAGCACTAACCCCAGCCCCAACCCCACGTCATCAGAGCTTTGCTGCAGCCTCAGCATCAAGCCTTAAGAAAATAAGTAGTAAAGGGCCTCATTTATTTGGCAGCACCCTGCAGAACAGCGGCGTCCGGACCCAGCGCCGCGGATATCAGGCGTTTGCTCATTTAGAAGGGGATGCTGGAGGCAGTGTCTTTGCCATTCCTCTCTCTGCAATCCTCAACAATATATTCCAAGCCAAAAGCGTTCCCTAATTGTTCTCTTTCTAAGTGGACAATCATTAAACTGCACTTTAATAGGAAGAAACCAGCCAGGCGGCCACAGAGAGCTGAGGAGTATCGCCGAGGAACGTGCTCCATTTGCCTCTGCTGCCATCTGAAAGGCTTTCTGCAGCTCCACCACTGACTGATGGCTTCTGTGCCTTTTCCAAGGAACATACGTTACTGAGCAAATACTGCCTGGAAGTTTCAGCGTGGAACCCACACAAATATGCACAGAAATGTGTGTCCTATTATAGATGCTCGCATGCATATTTGCCATCAGAAAGATCTGAGCATCGTACGCGTACGCACACACACGGAGCAAACTTGAAAACCTTCTTGCAGGCATCTTGTGAATACCAAGAAACGTGGAAAGAAACAGGCAGCTCTGCTGCAATCCCCAATGGACCATCTGTTAGAGGAAATGTCAATCTGCCATGTTTACATAGGTTTTGATGACTCTGGGAACAGCCTGTTCAGCTCCGGCTGAAATTGGCTGCAACGAAGAACAAACTTGTTTTGTACCAGTTTGCAACTTTCAACAAACAGAAAAAAACCATCAGCCACACAACATGGCCTGTATCCCACATGTTGTTCCAGCACATTATGTTTGAAAGGAAGGGGGGAAAAAAAAAACCCCAAACACCCTCTTGGGGCTTAGTCTTTCAGGTTGGGCAGCAGCAATGAACTCCAGGTCTGTTTTCATCACAGACCTGAAGAAGGTCCCGTGTCCCTGAAAGCTTCTCTTTTTTAAAGCAGCATCTTTTGGTGTAACAAGCCCTGCTAGTTCTTTCTGCTTGAGGGGAGATAGTAAATGGCTGAGCAAGGAAATGTTCTCCTGGTTTTTACAACGGAATAACAGAGGCAACAAGTGTCAGTCTAATACTAATCTAAAGAGGGGAAAATCCATTTGTCAGTTCACTGCAAACAGAAGAATGAAAACTAATAAAAACATCTTCCAATAAAAGGTGTTTCCATTACAGCTAAATCCTTATCAAAGCAAACAAGCCTTTTCATTTTAGCCTTTTTATAGAAGCTTCGACGGGGAAAAATGTGCCTAGCTCATGTTACCTTTCCAGCAACAAGTCAGGATTTCATGCAAATATATGAGCTGAGAATGAACACGTAGGAAATGTTGATCTTGAAACCTTTCCTGTTTTATGAGGATGGTTGTTTAAACTAGCTTGAAATCCTCTGCAAAACAAGGCTGGGGAAATTTTGGATGTGCCCAGCTTTTAAGGGTGTCAGAGTGGAGGGAAAGGATTCATCCTGGGCTGCAGCCAAAGCAGCGTGGGCAGCAGGTCAGTGGAGGTGGTTCTTACCCCCTGCTCCATTCCTCTCTGGCCCCACCCCAAGTACTGCGTCTAGCTCTGGAGCCCCAGCACAAGGAGGACGTGGACCTGTGAGAATGGGTCCAGAGGAGGGCATGAAAATGGTCAGAGGGCTGGAAGACCTCTGCTGTGAGGCCAGGCTGAGGGAGTTGGGGTTGTTCAGCCTCAAGAAGAGAAGGCTCTAGGGAGACCTTATTGAGGCCTTCCAGTATCTGAAGGGAACCTACAAGGAAGCTGGGGAGGGACTTTTTACCAGGGCTTGTAGTGACAGGATGAAGGGTAATGGCTTCAAATTAGAAGAGGGGAGATTTAGATTAGACATAAGGAAGAAGTTCTTCACTCTGAGGGTGGTGAGACACTGGCACAGGATGCCCAGGTTAGCTGTGGATGCTCCATCTTTGGAAGTGTCCAAGGCCAGGGTGGATGGGACTTTGAGCAACCTGCACTAGTGGGAGGTGTCCCTGCCCAGGGCAGGGGGGCTTTAGGTTGACAGCACCTCAGCAGCCAGTGGGAGTGGGAAAGCTCCATGTCATGCAAACATCCAGGGATCCCTGCCCACAGCTGCTCCTCTGAAGACACAGCTCTCATCTAAGGCTTTCCAGAAAATACTGGGACTTTGTTTTCCATGCAAAAAAATTTCAACACGAAAATGACAAACAACGTGGGTAGATCCAAGTGCCCTGATGCATTACAGCTTTTGCTCCCCCAGTCACGAGGAGGCTTCCTGGGAAGCAGTCCCCATGGAGAGGAGGCCCCCAGGGAAGGAGCAGGGCAGCCAGCACGGGGGGTTCCAGCTCGCAAGAAGCACAACGTCAAACCTTTCCGAGCCAAAACACTTGGGTTTGGCTTCATTCAGTGAAAAGCTGGAGTCTTCCATGGAAAGCAGATGCTTTAACATGCTTCCCCACCCCCTACACTGCTTGGCCCAGAAGCAGCAGGGACAGAGATGTCTGAGGCAGAGGCATTTGATCCTCCCCAGTCCATCTGCCGGGGGAAGAGGAGCTGCACTGCCACAGCCTGGGCATCCCCTGCCACTTATTACACGGGCTACTGAGGGCATCAGGCTGGGGGTCACCTGGAAGGGGAAGAGAGCAAGAGAGGAGAATCTCTTGTCAGTCTACGTACAATCCTTGTGTGACCACTGGGGAACACACAGAAAGGACAACAAAGGGCCCACTAAATAACTGGCCAACTGCACTCCAGCCTAACGGAGCTGCTGGGCATCCAGGGGGGCCCTGAGCCGACCGCTCAGCTGCCGTGGCACCTTGCTGGCCTGCAGGCAGGGGCAGGGTGGCCAGGAGGCCCCAGTGGGCTGTCCAGCAGCACAGAGACTGTCCCACCTTCCACCAGCACCATCCTGCACCCCCAGCGTTACTTGTAAAAGCCCAAGAGGAATTATGTTCCTCCATTCAAAGGAACTGGTGGCCTTGACTTGAGAACGACCAAGGGGCCTTCTCAAAACTCTTGCCAACAATTCTTTGCAGGAGTCAGTCTAAATCTGTTAAAGTCTGAGTGTTGTTAAAGTCTTCCTGCCCTTGGTCTTGCTCTTCTCCAGTCCCCACTGCCAAGGGACATCCACTCACTTCTGACTGCTTACAGCATGGGGATAGTTCCTTCCTTGTGTTTGTACACCTCCTAACAACAGGGACCCTTCAAGCTGGAGGAACCTTGAGGTCCACTGGAACCTTGGGCTGCCACAAGGATAAGAACAAAAAAGAATAACTCATGAAATGCTAAGTAAGGAGCCAGCATGTGAAAAGCCTGCAAACATGGGAGCAGCCATCACTACCACTGCTACTGGCAAATGCCACCCAGCCAACGCAAGGCAGGATTCAGGAGTGTAACTTGAGGATGGAGAGGCAAGCAGGCAACTGGAGAAGGTCACACAGGCCTGGAGCTGCCTGTTCCTTGGCATCACAGCTGTACAAACCTGCCCAACAGCAGCAGCGGCACTGCACTAAGAGTCTGTCCCAGCTAGCACCCCAAGCCCCAAGACTGACAAGCTGTTAATTAAAAGGGATCCCTGAGACATCTCTCACTTCCTTTTAATGACTAAAGTGACAGTACCCAACCTAGAGCACCCTGGGGAGCTTCTCCTTGCCAGCCTGGACCAGGAATTTCCTTCCACAAGGCTTTTCTCTTTCCTGTGGCTCTACCACATTCCTTGCCATGGATTTTCATAGCCCACAGCAGGAGGGAAGAAAAGAGAAGGCAGCAAAGGCAGCTGGTCACTGCAGGGTACAAAGCTCCCAGCAACGCCCCGTTCCAGGCAGTTCCCTGGGGGTTTTGGCAGCCTGGCTTAAACGGCTGCTGGGAGAAGCTATTTGCAGCACGCAAGACAACCCAAGGAACCTCCAAGCCACTCCTGAGCCTTGGCTAGTAGCATCTTGTCTACAAGCCAGGAGATGCCCACGCTCACAACCACACTGGACTCCGATTTACTTCTACTGTGGGGACCAGGCATGTGTGCACTGGTCCAGCCACACTCATCAGACCTGCCCAACTCCTCAACTGCCCAGCCAAGGAAAATCACATCACCACGTGGACACGTGGCCTCTTGGCAACTGCGTGCAAAGATGGCTTTGGCCTGAGTATTTTCAGCCCTGACTATCCGTGCCAGAACACAGGGAGGATGCAGCTCAGGTGGCACTTCCAGCAGGAGCTGGGCAGTGGAGGGAGCAGGGTCTCCTGCGTGGGAGCACATCTCCCTCCAGTGCCCACTCCCAGCAACGACAGCCTGTTGCTCCTGGCCGCCACTCGGGCTCCTTCCCCTGCCAGGTCACCCTCGCAGGTCAGCACGGGTGACAACGCTGCTCTCCGGGTGGGTGCTCCTCAGTGATCCCTGCTCCCCTCCCCACATCCATCAGAAAACCGAGCTCTTCATTCTGCTCGCAAAAATCCTCAGGGAATTTAACCCTCAGTGGTCTTTTCCTATCCAGCTAAGGAGATGGAGACACTACAGCCGGAGTTGCCCCTCTCCCTGAAGCTCTGATCTCTGGGCACCACTGCTCCCAGGCCTCAGCACTGCTCTCCAGCCCCTGCTATGTGCACGTTTTAATCTTTGGGCACACCTCTGCAGACAGGATTGCTGCACTGGAAGAGAGATCTGGATGTGCTGCTCCCAGAAAGGTCTTCCAAGGGAGACAACCTGCCCCCACCCTGACCTGTTCAGGGTAAGTCACCATAGAATCATAGAATCCTTTAGGTTGGAAGGTACCTTTAAAATCATCAAGTCCAACCATCAAGCCAACACTACTAAGTCCTCTGCTAAAACAGAATCTGTCAGGGTTGGAAGGGCCCACAAGGATCCCCCAGTTCCAACCCCCCTGCCATGAGCAGGGACACCTCACGCTAGATCAGGCTTCCTCATGCTCTTCAGCTTGGGTCCAAACCAGCAGCAACATTCCACCAAACTCCATCGATGGCAGCTTGGCCAAGAGCACGGCTTGAGCTCACTGGACCATCAGAGCCAGCAGAAGACACTGTGTTCCAGCAGAGCTCAGCAGCAGCAGCAGCAGCAGGGGCAGGCCCCGGGTCAGCCAGGAACTGCCCGTCCCCCCGCGCCACACGAGCCCCTCGTGGCTGCAAACGTGAAATCCCACGTGCACTCACCATGCATTTGTTTTACTGAACCTCCTAATTACTTTACATGCTCTCCCTGGGCTACAAAGACAGACATAAACAGATTAACTAAATTAGGCCAATTAAAGGTTCCCTAATGGAATGAAATGTTTCAGGCAAGCTTGAGAGAGGAAATGGGCAGGGAGGAATGAAAGACGACGTGATGTCAGACAAACCAAGCAGGGCAGGCAAAGACTGCTTGGAAAAATGAGGTTCACAGATAAAACATGATTCCACCTCTTGTGTATCTTAAAGGTATCCCAGAGAACACACTGCAAAGGGACAAAGTTCCTTTTCCTCTGAGCAGAAGTGTCCTGAAGGCAGCGTGCCTGCTCTAGACATCACACCTCCTCACAGCATCTACGTGCTGCAGCAGCAGGACCAGCACAGCTCTCTGCAGCACCCAGCTGGGTAGCTGTGTCCCTGGGGATGAGGGTCCCTGTCCCAGGAGATAGCAAGGGGTGGTAGATGGCACGAGGATCCCAAACTCAGATCTGATGGCCAAGACTGAGCCAGCCAGTTTTACGGGGAGGGAAATGAACGGCTGCCCAGCAGCAACCTGCAGCCAAGAGTAGCAGCACTCTGCAGAGCCAGGACAGGATCAGCCTGGCTTCCTGGAGGAAAAGGACCTGGAGGAGTTGGTCAACAGCCAGCTGAAGATGACCCAGTATGTGCCCAGGTGGCCAAGAAGCCCACCAGCATCCTGGCTTGTGTCAGCACTAGTGTGGCCAGCAGGACCAGGGCAGGGATTGTCCCCCTGGACTCAGCACCAGTGAGGCTGCACCTCATATCCTGGGTCCAGTTTTGGGCCTCTCACTCCAAAAGGGACATTGAGGGGATGGAATGTGTCCAGAGAAGGGCAACAAAGCTGGGGAAGGGCACAGAGCCCAAGTCTGTTGAGGAGCAGCTGAGGGACCTGGGGTGTGGAGCCTGGAGCAACGGAGGCTCAGGGGAGACCTTCTGGCTCTCAACAACTTGAAAGGAAGTTGCTGGGGGAACTGTTGGACTTAATGATCTTAAAGATCTCTTCCAACCAAAACAACTCTATGATTCCCAGCAGTGACACACTGAAGAAAGGCTCTTGCCTGGGGTTGGAGCCCAATCACCACGTGCCTGGGTGGTTACCTTCCTCTTCCCGTGCACGACGTCCTCGGGGAGGCTGGTGTGGATCAGGCTGTGCACTTCTGTCAGCTCCGTGATGTCCCCCAGGGGCAGGGACACATCCTCTGCGAGTGGGGACATGAGGGACTCCAGCTCATGCGAGTCCAAGGTGGCACTGGGAGCTGCCAGCCCTTGCCTGCTCCGGTGGTAGTAGTGGTTGCCAGCTGCCTGGGAATCCAGGCCCGGCAGGGCCTCCCTGGAGGAAAACAAGCAAGAGCTGACCTCTCATGAGCCAAACAGCCACGGTCTGCCAGACAAAGTGATCCCCTCCAGGCCACTCAGCCTGCCCCTGAGGAAGTGACCAGGCCCGAGCCCTGACACTCCTGAGGAAGGGGGTTCTCCCTCCACACCCCACTGTGAAGCTTTTGCTGTGCCAGCCTCTCCCTGGGTGCCCCGTCAGCACCGTCACCAGTCCGAAGCACGGGGCTGGATGCAAGGCCCCCTCCTCCAGCAGGTCACTGGGCAGCAGGCAACACGAGCCCCAGCACCAGAGCAAGTGCTCTCCAACCCCCACCCGTGGGTGCTGTGTCACTCCTGCCACCTCTGCCTTACAGGTGAGCCACAGAACAGGACGGGAAAGTTTGGTGGCCCCCTGAGGACGAGACTTCAGAATTTCCTTGTTCCTAGCCCCAAGATCTGCCGCCAGCTCAAAGCTCTTCTCAGTAACTAAGGTGGTTTCTGATCACAGTCCTTCCAAATGCCTGTGGCTGGATTCAGACCCTGGGACAGCAGGAAGCTTTGGGCTGAGTCCAAGCTTCCTTAAACCAGCCTGTCACTCACTGGGAAGTCTTTCATCATGTCACCAACTTGAAGTTAGCAAACCCTTTCCAAACATCCACAGAGCTGTCCGACCTCAGAACCAAAATACCACCCACACTAACATACACAGGTAATAATCCAGCAAATAGTGGCTTCTCCCTTTTCTTGTGGTGTTTGTCTTTCTCTGAAAAAAAAAATCTTTATTAATCTAACAATGTGAATCAAAGAGAAACTACTGAGAAAATAAGTCCGTGAAAAGATGACACTAAGTGTGTTCCTCAGCCTGCTGGCACTCCCAAGACTCAATCTTTTTATTACTTGATGTCATACTCTGCATCCCAAACAACCCTGCCCCAGTTTAGTCTGGAGCAAAGGAGGCTCAGGGGAGACCTTCTGGCTCTGCACAGCTCCTGACAGGAGGCTGGAGCCAGATGGGGTTGATCTCGTCTCCCAAAGAGCAAGTGACAGGACAAGAGGAAACGGCCTCAAGTTGCACCAGGGGAGGTTTAGGTTGGACTTCAGGAAAAATCTCCTCTCAGCAAGGGTTGTCCAGGCCTGTGCCAGGCTGCCCAGGGCAGTGGTGGAGTCCCCACCCCTGGAGGGGTTTCCAAGCCGTGGAGATGTGGTGTGAGGGACACGGGGCAGTGGGGACCTGGCAGTGCTGGGGGAACAGTTGGACTTGATGATCTTGAAGATCTTTTCCGACCTAAACCATTCTGAGATTCTAACAGGAGGGAGCAGCTCACAGTGCACTCTGCTCCTTGCAGGCCAGGCTCCTCCTGCTGTGAGGTGAGGGACACCCACCTCTGCTTGCTGTTGCGGAAGCTGGCACACATGCAGAAGAGGATGCAGAGCAGCCCCAGGCAGACTCCCACGATGATCCCCGTGACAGAGTGGATATCCAAAACATCTAGAAGGGGAAGGACAGACACATCACTTCAGCTGCTAGCAGGAAGAAGGCACAAAGTATCTTCTGTTCAGAGAAGCACCAGCTTCACTAAAACCAATTGGTGCTGCCTTTAGACACAGAAAGGCAGAAGACTTCTTGGCAGTGACAATTCAGAGAGGCTTAAAGCACACTGGCAGCTATGTGCACTCATCCACCTCAGGCAGCACACTGCAGGCTGCGTGTGCCCTTCCACAGGAGCTGGGACTGGGGAAGAGAGATGAAGCTGGGCTGTGGGATGGGTTCTGGAGCTGCCTGAGGCCTCTGGAGCTGCACGTCTGAGGAGCCTGCAGCTCGCCTCCTGCAGCAGGCCAGAGGGGAGATTCCTACCAGAGAGCTTCTCCCGGAGCGTGTGCACGTCCTTGACGTTTGAGTAGGGACCAGATCCCACCACTGTCTTCGCTCCCATCTTGAAGAAGTATCTGGTATCACTTTCCAGGCCGTGCACTTCAGTGCTGAAGATATTTCCTGATCAAAAGCAAGCCAAAAGAGGTTTAAAACGGGCAGGGAGGAAGGCGGGAGAAGGAGGACCTGGTGGGTATGACAGTACCATGAGGAGACTCACCTTCTCGTGTCAGCAAGGTCCACATGTCATCTGGCTGCGTGTTGTTGGCGTTGTAGAGGATGAGATACTCCACAATGATGCCATTGGGCTCAGCAGGGGGGCACCAGTGCACCTGCACAGCATAGGGGTTGAGCGGGTGCAGCCGCAGGTCAGAGGGAGGAGTCGAGGGACCTGCAGGGACAAGGAAAGACCCAGCATGAACAGTGGAAAAGAGGAGAAGAGCTTCCAACCTGCAGGGCATGACAACTGCTCTGCACCTCCTCCCAATCCTCAGACCGCGGCCACAGCCATGTTTGCAAGCAGGAGATGACAGACAGCTTGGGTGGCTGGATACCTCATCCAGACAAGCTGTGGAGAGCAGAGGAGGCTGCTGAGCCCAGCAGAGGGCAGGGCTGGTGCACCATGGCCACCCAGCCAAGGGGAATGTGACAGGACTGATGGGGCCACGCAGCTCACTGAGGCTCTACAACACCGCTCAGCTCTGAATGTTCCCAGCACACCCTCGCTCCTTGTGTCTTTCTTCCCCATCTTCCCCTAAGCCCTGCCTGCACCACAACTGGTCCCAGCTGGGGGCAGGACACACAGCACCTCCAAAGGCCATCACTGCTCCTCTGTGAAGCTGAATACTGGAGAAGCTGTCACAGAGTAAGGAGCTAACTCACTGTAGGTCCTGGGATCAGCCCTGCCTCCCAGCCTTCACCAGGCCTGAAGCCAAGAGGTGGAGGTCTTGCTGGAAAACCAGGCTGGGCAAGGCACTCTCGTTCTGATGGTGACACTCAGCACTGGGGAGGAACTAGCACTCAATCACCAGCTCTAACAAGCAGGATTCCTCTGAACCCCAGGGCCACCCCACAGTAACAGCAGTCATTGCTCCAGTTCTCCTTCCATGCCCCTCTCTGCTTACAAAGCAGCTCTCAGCACGTACTCAGGGGCATGACAGCTTAGAGGTGACCCGAGATCCCACTTCTCCTGAGGGGCACATTAGGAGGCGTTCGGCAGAGCCTCAGGGAAGGCCAGGAGAGCTGACGTGGGGCTCTGGCAGTACTCACGGTCGGGAAGGGTGAACCTCTCCACCACGCTGCCGAAGGGCCCGTCGATCCCCACCCCGTTGGACTGCACCGCAAACTCGTACCTGGTGTAGGGCTTCAGCCCACTAATGAGAATGTCTTCATCCGAGCTGCCAAAAGAGGACACCTTCACAAGGCCAGGAACCCTGCGTGGTTCTCCCACCCACTGCCACCTTGGTACTTCACCAGGAACCCTGCAAGAGGTGATCTGAACTCTGACAGTATTTGAGTTTTCACCTAAAGCAACTTCTTTGCTGTGAGGGTGGCAGAGCCTGGAGCAGCTGCCCAGAGAGGTTGTGGAGTCTCCTGCTCTGGAGAAATTCCACCCCTGCCTGGATGTGATCCTGGGCACCCTGCTGTGGGTGACCTGCTGGAGCAGGGTGGCTGGACTAGATGATCTCCAGAGGTCCCTTCCAACCCCCACCATGCTGGGATTCAGTGATCTCCTGCAGTCATGTGAATGCAAGAGCACTCGGCTCCCAGATACAAAGGAGGTTCCCAGCCTGCAGGACCATCTCTAATGAACTTGTGGAGAAAAGCTTGGACACACAGCACGGTTACAGGCTGAGAGCTTTCACGGGACTCTAGATTCAGAACACACCCCTTAATTATTATAACTGCTTAAACTCTACCAATTTTGAAACCAAGCTTGTGAGGACCACCTCACAAATCACGAATGATTTGAGACTGGCCATGTTACTGACAAGGAAACAAGTAAGGTCCCACCAGAGCAGAATAAGCTGCAGAGACCAGTCAGTAAATGATCCCTTGGTATTCAGGTCACAGACAAATCTCAGTGCCACTTTCCAGCAGTTCTGAGTCTATCTGTGACCAAGGCAGATGTTTCCAGCATGTGAAACACTCAGAATTTTGCTCAGAACTGGAACTTCCATGCAGGTTCCTCCTGCCCTGAGCGTTTCTTCCTGACACATGCCACACGTGGCAGACAGACCCTCAGCATCCCTCTTTACCTTGTGTAGTAAGTAACAAGAGATGCATTCTTCAGGCCCCAGGGGCTGAAGCGCACGGTGTAGTTGACAATTTTGACTGTTGTGAAGTCAGGTTTCTTCCACCTGAGCCAAATGGAAGTTGAGCTGTTGGACTCTGCATAGACTTGGACTGGAGGCAGCGGAGGACCCTTCTGCACAGGGGGATCTATAGTGCAAGAGAAGAGGTGTGGAGAGGTACATGAGATTAAGGCAAGGGAGAGCCACCATGGACACAGAAGCCATGGAGTACACCAGGCCTAGGCTGGGAAGCCTGTGCTGACTTGGTGGCCTCTAGCGTGAGCCCTGGTGCAGGCACAGCCACTCTGTGCACCCAACACTCCTCACGTGGGCAAGATCACAGTGAAGGATCCAGGCACCAAGGTGGTGGTGGGGCACTTGAGGCCAGCTTCAAAGCCACCTATCTGACAAGCCCACACCGGGGTAAGGAGGAGCCCCCACTGCTCACCACCCCAGCAGATGGGCAGAGCTGAGAATGGAGCCTTGCTCTTAGAGCTTTGGCTTTCTCTGTAACGCTGCGAAGAGCCTGGCATGCTGTAACCCACGTTCTCCAGCCCTTAGGATGTAAGAGATGAGCCCAGGTTATTTGGCATTTCCAAGACCATCCCTCAGAGAGCACATGGTGAAGGCCACCCACACCCCTAACGAGAAGGGGGGTATTTTGCTCCTTTCTCTCCTTCCCAAGATAACTCCTCCAATGGAATTTGCAATGACTCTCAAAGGAGTTTCCTTGTATTGGGACCCTTCCCATTTGTGTATTGTCCTTGCTCAAGTTCATCTTCTGTAACTTTACCTCTACCCTTCCTTTGAAGTCACACGCCAAGCAGAAGAGACAGACAACAAATGAAGGGCATTCCTCACCTACTGCTGTTGCAGGTGCCTTTTCTGTTTTGCCCTTCCAAACTGCTGCATAACCATCTTCGTGCTTATTGAACGCCACCAGCTTCACCTCATAGAGCTTCCCAGGAGCTGGAAAAATCAATCAGGGTTTGTCTGGGGTTATTTTTGTAACCAGCCCTCCCTAGTTAGACATATTTCCTTTGATCTGACCAGCTTTTCTCACCATCCAAGAAAGCAGCTTGATCAGAGTGGTATTTGCTAAAAGCACAGCAGGGAGGGGTCCCCCTTCCACATTCAACTGCTGTCTCACAACTGGTGCACGTATCATCACAGCTCTCTAGTTCTCCCCTTACTTCTTCTAGACATTGGATTTGCAGCAAATGGACTTGCCCGAGGAGTGGGGACACCCTCTCCTCTCCAAAATGCACCTCCCATTTCTAAAGTCCTTTTGACTCATTCATCACTGTGAGGATCTTCCTTCCAGCAAGTCCTCACATGCCCTGTTGAGTCACTGGCAGCTTTGGCTGCACGGTGACTGTTTCACAGCAGTTTCTTGATTTGCAAAGAGAAAAAACCCAGTGCACACAACCCCCATGCTGGCAACCTGTGGGTGCTCATTACACCCTTCCCACCAGCCAGCCAGGCTGGAACCTCATGCGTGGACCCAGACTGAGCTGCAGGACAGGGTGCTCCATCTCCAAGCAGTGCTGCTCTGGTCCAAAACTCACTTCCCTCTGGCCTCTCCCACACTGAAACACTCCTCTGCTGCATCAAGTGACATCTGAGGGGTGTTTTAATGGAGATGTTTTATTGAGGAAACAACTTGGAAGCTATCAGGTTCTCCAGTAAGAGACTGGGCAGCCTCTCCCTCCATGGCCAGGCAGGAGCTCAGCAGGAGCACTGCAGGCTGCCCCTGGCTGCCTTGGCTGTGGTGCATTGATGAAGTTTGTTAATTTGGGATGTGCCTGTTCATTCCCTGCCCTGATGGATCACCGCTGTCTTTGCCAGACAACGTAAGCAGAATAAAACCCTTCTCATTGATGCCAATTTTATTATTACTGTGCTGATTACGCTCCCAGAGGCTAATGGGACCAATTACCAAAGGCTTTCTCTGCTCCACAACACATGTTCATGCTCCGAATAGAAAAACACTTCAGCCACATTTCTCCCCTCAAAAGAATCCCAAAAGCAAACAGAGTTTTGCCTGGCTCCAAGGCAGCATGAACTGCATGTCCATGCTCTCCAGCCACGGGATGACATTTCAAACCCACACAAGGGGCATGAGACCAAAGGGGACTTCACTTCCCAGCAGCTGGGACCAGGGGCTGGGTGGAACAAGGAACCCAGCAGCCTGTCCCTCGCCAGCACGCAGGCTCTGCCTGCTGCCTGAGCAGGGCTGGGCTTTGCTGGGACACCAGCTCATCGTGGACAATGGGATCCCAAACGATGAGGAAGAGCTGGCAGATGGGACACAGCCGTGGGCAGCTCCTGGTGGAGCAAAGTGAAGGGAAGGACAAGTCCTCCACCTCCATCCCTGGGTAGGGTCAGTACAGCAGCCACTTACACGTGAAGCCAGGGGAGCTCTGCCTCAAGATCAAGCAATTCACATTCTGAAAATAGGGGTATTTTGGATTTCTCAGTCAGAGGCTTGGTTTCAATTTTTATACACAGGCCCAGATGTTCAAGCTCTTAGAACATGCAGACATAAAGCTCTATCAAGCTGTCAAGAAGCTAGTAGGCAGCATGAAAACAGATGTTTTTCTCTGCATTCCATCATACATTAAATATAAGCAGAATAATCTAGTCCAGATCATTTCAAATCACTAATCTGGATGACTGCATAATAGAACCAATATGCTAAATATGTTGTTTCATTCCGTTTTTCAAGGTGTTTGTATTGGCCAGGTGCCATATGCCATACTTCCCTCTAAGTGGGAAAATACCCTGATCTCCAGGGAGTCACTCCCAGAGGAATGCAATCTCCCTTCATGGGAATGTGGAAGGCAGGATCAGAACTCTGCCATTTAGGTTTCATATAAATTCTGGCCCTGGTAGTCAGGCACCATCACAGAGACTAACTGCTAGAACAATGATGGAAATTGAGGAGAATTTCTGAGGGAAAAGCCCTCCTGGTGATTCAGAACATCTTCCTTTTGACTTTGTGGCTCATGGAATTGCCTTATTTCTTATGTGCCTTTGAACAGCTGCCCACCACTCCCCCAGGATTTCAGCTCATACCTCTCAGACAAGAATCAAGGCATGTCATTAGAGATATCACTCTAAAGAGACAGGGTTTGCTCCAGAAGTTAGCACACACACAGGACAAAAGTCTCCTCTTATTTCAGACAGCTAAATCCGAGAGAGCTGAGTCATTACCAAAGGCAAAATCAAGAGGCCAGATGTTGGGGTTAAGGCAAAAGATGGGGAAATCTGCAGGACAGAGAAGAGGTGTTGGGCAAAGCCAGCACCATTTCAGTAGACCAGCCAGTGCAAGAGAAGACAAGACAAGAATCTTGCACTGGACCAGCACAAGGAACTAAACACAGGCTAATGTTACAGGGAACCAGGGGAGGAAGCCACGGGCAGGGCTCTTTGCTGAGTAATAGTTGTGTTACTGCTGTGATTCAAGAGTAGCTGTGCTCAAGCAGCTCTGTCCAGAGCTGCCTTCTGCACACCCCTCCACCCCTGAAGCATGACTCAAAAGGAGCTGTCTTGCCAGAAAGTTCTTCCCCTTTTGCTCTGCTGTGCTCCTGGTAAAAAAAACAGGATAATCAGGAAATCAGATTCAAGCTATGCAGGAATAAGCAGTGGGACAGGAGTTTTGTCTCAGGCCACCCCCCAAACCTCCTTGCAGAGTGTTGGCTCCAGTGACGCTGCAGAGACATGGAGCCAAGGAGCATTTAGAGACTGCTGCAGCAGTATGTAGCCTCCACCACTCAAGCTGGACCTTGTTTGCCCTGACATGGTATGCAGCCATGTCTGAGCTACAGCCTTGTATTCCCAGCATCCAGTCTTGGGATCTCCTGCAACCATTTCAAACCCTGGAACAGGCTTCCTGGAGACGTTGTTGAAGACCCCAGCCTGCCAGTACTTAAGAGGCATTTGGACAATGCTCTTAAGAATTTGCTTTAACTTTTGGTCAGCCCTGAAGTGCTCAGGTGGTTGGACTAGATGGCCTCTGTAGGTCCCTTGCAACTGAAATATTCTGTTCTGTTCTATTCTATTCTATTCTATTCTAGCAAAGAACATTCCATTCCATTCCATTCCATTCCATTCCATTCCATTCCATTCCATTCCATTCCATTCCATTCCGTTTCTTTGCTCTTCAAGCTCTTGATTCCATTTGTAGTTTCAGTCATGACACCTCATCAACATCTCACCTCCCATGGGCCAGCCTGGGTGAATCTTTCCTTGCACCAGGCAGCACCGTTCACCATACGCAGCCCCCTTATCCTGACACCAGCAGATACTCCCAGGAGACAGTGTTGGGTGTGTGTTTGTTTTTACAGAGGGATCTTAGGAGAGGTTTCCACAGCAGTGATGCCCAGGCAGATATCCATGAGTTGGGAAATCCTCCCAGCTGATTTCCCCATCAGCCAACATCTCACATTAGGGTTGCCAGCCTTTCCTGAGACTGTTACTTGCTCTGCCTCCAGTGGAGGCCTCCACTGCAGATCTAAGTGCCTGCACAGGGCACCTCCCCACCATAAAACTAAACCCTTCTAAATCCCAGCTCCTCCTCCTCCTCGTTTCATGGCCAGACCCCCTGCCTTCCTCAGCACAGCCAGACTGCCAACCTTCCTTTACGTGTGCGAGAGCACGTCACCCAGCAGCACAAGGGGGAAAAAAAGCAACATCCAGGGCTGGAAGCAACCCGAGCCCCTCCTCCTGACACAGGGAGAGCCCACAGGCAGCTGCCAAATCATACTGAAACCATTAGGGCCTGACGGATGCCCAAATTTAAGGAAGTAATTACAGAAGAACAAGCAGCCTTCTCAGCATCATCGTGCCAGAGCATTTGGAAGCAATTCAGGGCAATGCCGAGTGCCCCCGCCCAGGGACCTGCTGGTGGTTAGAGCAGCACGTCAGGATCTTCACATGTGGTTTCCCCAGTGCCACAATTACAGACCCAGATTCTTCAGAGAGGCTCCTAACTGTTAGCACCCTCTCACTGGCAGGATGGCAGCAGCCTAGCTGGGAACCCACTCGGTGATGACACAAACTGTCTTTCCAGGTGCTGCAGCCTGGCCTTTACACCACGTGTAACACATCTGCTAGATGCAGAAGATGAACCAGCACCAGAAACACTCGCCCTGCAGGCTCAGCTCACTGGGCACCAACAAGGATGAAGCACCAAGTCATCAAGTGGGGCATGGAAGAACTCTAGGAAGCAGAATCCTGTTCCAAGGATGCTTCAGCCATGATTCTTTTATCTCTCTCCATCCTGTATCGATGGGCAAATCAACTAATTAGTACCATCAGTTGTCAGGAACATCTTAACTCCTTATGGGGAACACCAAGTGCTGTTAGCCAGGCAGGTCCCACTGATGCAGGCTTGTTCTCCAGCCACAGATGCTCTCTCTCTTCTATCTCTTTCCCCCAGGGGGAGGCGGAGGAGAATAGTGACCCCAAATTAGCATGCTGTGAATTAACCCATCTCTGCACTTTACTAGAGAGATTTCAAATAGCATGCAATTATGGAGCTGCTTAGAAATACACAGGGAAGGAGAGATCATTGTCCTGACTGGAGATTTTAATCTAGGCACTCTTTAGAGTGACACAATAAAACCCACTAATTGATTCAGATCCACTTATTAGCATATATGATGTATATTGGTTAAAAATACAACCCCTGCTACACTGGCTTTGGAAACTTCTGTTTCAAACTCTGCTTAGGAGAAGCCTCAAAAGCTGCACTCCAGAAATTATTCTGGGTGCTCTTAAAAAACAGTTCACATGGTCTTGGTCTTATATATTTGCAGCCAAGCAGAGAGATGAGCCTCTTGGAAGCACCCCAAGACTGCTACGAGGTGCAAGAGGCAGACCCTGGGTTTCCACAGCAACTGCAAAGAAGATGTAACCAGCTAACCTAGTCGAGTCAGCTCGTATTGCTTCACTTTCTTCTTCAGTTTTATGGGTCCCACGTCCCAGCTCTCATCTTCAGGACCATCCAAAGGGCTTTCTTTGCTGGACTCCTCTAGACCCACCTCTCGGTAGTAGAGCTTGTAGCCAGATATCTGGGCATGGTTGGCTGGGGGCTGCCAGGTTATCAGCAGAGACTCCATCTTCGCTCGGACTTTTAATTCTGTCGGAGCAAATGGAACTAGAACAACAACACAAGAGAAATATGTTCAGCCACTTGCCTCCATTTCCCTGCTCTGCTGAATCCTCCCAGTGAGGGCAGGGCTGAGGAAACTGCAAGTGAGGGCAGGGCTGAGGAAATGCTGTCCCACGAGTGAGACGTCTCCACTCTCTGACAGGGGAAAGTGGGACAGTCACAATCCACTGCTGACTTTACCAGCTGGGTGACAGAGGAAAAAAACACAAAGCCACCATGGGAGTTTCTCAATGTATTTTGAGATCCCACCATCTTTAACTGCTGCTGGAGGCTCAGGCTCAGCTCTCTTTGGCAGATTTATCTATCCACTCCCACATGTCAAAACACTGGGGCTTGGGGAGTGTGTTTCTTTTTAAAAACATTTTCCCAGGTGCACACGGAAGGAGGAGAAACCCGCTCCCCAGGCGAACAGCAAGACACACGGGGGCTGCTCAACAGGAAGATAAAGCTGGGTACTTTGGTCTGACCCACCCTACCCGTTCTATCTCAGGAAAGCGAGTGCCTCTGCGTGTGCCCCCAGCCCCCCGGTGCCCTGCCCC